TTTCTTTCTTTCTTTCTTTCTTTCTTTCTTTCTTTCTTTCTTTCTTTCTTTCTTTCTTTCTTTCTTTCTCTAGAACTTAGTCACATGGCCATCCAGCTAAGATATGAAGGCCTCATTCACAGTGGCAAAATGCTCAGCTGAAATTGGAGTTCTCCTACAAAGGAAGGAGGAATATTGATGAGTGGCTAACAGTCTGAAGCCATGGCTTTCAGTTACAGGTCTTATGACACACAGAGAGAAAGAGAAAAAATTTTCCAAGTTCTTTTCAGACACCCACATCTGAAAAAATCAAGTCTGACCATGGAGGACAAAGAGTTTTTTTGTTTTATTTTTTCCAGTGTTGTGAATGGAATGGAGGGCCTTTGCACTGAACTATATTCTCAGCCCTTTTAATTTTTGAAAAAAATTTGATATAGGGTGTCAGTAAGTTGTTAAATTGCCCAAGCTGAGGTCAGACTTCCAACCTTACTGCTTCAGCTTCCTAGAGTGTAGGGAATACAGGTGTGTGCCACCACACCCATCAGAGAGTTATTTTTAGAACATTATACACCGTTTAAAAATTGTGATTTAAATATAGAGTTCATTAAAAATATGATTACGGTTACCTGCTATTTGCTAAGCACTATTCTAGACCTGGGGGATTTAAATTTTTTATTAGTACATGTTTGCAATCCATAATGATTACATTTATTGTGGGGAGTTGGTACATTTACATAATGCATCTTCTTAAATTTGTTCTTTTATCCCCAACCCCTCCCATCTCTCCCTGCTCTTTTCAACTCTTGGTCCCCAGAGGATTTAATGATGTGCAAAAAGATACTATCAATCTTGTTATGTATGGTGGACCCAGGGTCTACAGGTCTCCAGACTCAACCTGGCTGGGCTCGTCTCCCTCGCTGTTGTAGGAAGAGGAACAGGAGTCAGAGAAGACTAGTGTAAAACAAAAACATTATTACAGGTATTGCAAGAAACAGTAGAAAACCACTCCAGGGGAGGAGTGGGGGCACTCAAGAGCTGAGACACCACTGAATCTGGGGCTGTGATCTTGTTTTATGGGTTAGGGGCCCTGTCCCCACACCTTCTAGGGTTCACTACTTGATTGGTTGATCGACTTATTGCCAGGGAGCTAAGTTTTGTGGGCTAACAGGGGAACTTTGAGGAGAGAAGTAGCCTGCTTAAAGCGTGGCTTAGGTGACACAGTGCAGCTACACAAAAGTGTGGTCAGCTCAGCTGCTGGCTGAGATGGAGAGGCTATTTCCTTTCTACTTCTTATGGGGGCCCAGTTCCCTAATCTAATCCTACCAATGATCTGAACTGTTCTACAATCTCTGCTTCCTGAAGTTTACCTTTCAGTGGGGGAGACAGATAACAGCCACAGACCCACAACAAGTGATGGGAGAGTGTACAATAAGCTGGAACCTGGGCAAGAATCTTCATCTGTTTGAGTTTCTGTCACAGACTCCCATAGATTGTGTGACTTACAAACAACACAGTTTGTTTCTCACTGATCAGAGTACTGGGAAGTCCAAGAGCAAAGTGTCTTTGTATCCCCCACCTACAAACTCAGGCTGAAATTCTAAGCTTCAGTGTTATGGTGGTGGAGGTGGGCCTTAGGGATGTGATTCTGTTGTGGAGGTGGATTCCTCCTAAATGGGATTACTGCTCTTATAAAGAGACCCTCATGAATGAGCTCTCCTGCCACCATGTGAAGAGACAATGAGAAGACAGCTGTGTGTGAACCAGGGACTGATCCCTTCCCATACACTAAGAATCTCCTGCCCTTTGAGTCAAGACTTTCCAGCTTCCAGGAATGCGAGCAATAATTTCTGCTACTTAAAACTTTGCAATCTATGGTAGTTTTCCATAGCAGCTCAAAAAGACTAAAACAGAAAGAGGTATTGAGCAGTGGGGGTTGTTGTGACAAGTACTAAAATGAAGATATGTCTTTGGAATAGTTTAATGAAGGTGCAAGCTGTGAGTGGCCCAACCCTAGGGGCATCACGAGTGGGTAGCAGGTACCCACAGCATACTTTTCTAATGAAAGTATGTACTTTAGCACAATGGTAGCCAACTGTACATCTCAGCAGCTGCCCTGGGGGAATATAGGAAGCAATCTTTGTGTTCACCCACTTGGTACAGTGAACAGCAAAGTGTTTGCACATGTGTCAAAGTGTAAATGGGCAAGTGTTACCCATGTTATGCACCATGTTATGTTTTTGTGTATTTATAAAATTTTCTATTACATGTTTTCTTTTGATTTTTCTTGCAAAATTAGTCCAATTCAGTACATGAAAATTTTCACATGAAAATCTGCTTTTACAACTTTGAGAGGAGTTGAAAGTGAGTCATCAAGTGACTCGGCTACTGACGATGACTTGGATCATGGAAGCCAAAGAAATTGTGACAGTGAGACAGAGCAAAATACGACAGGTGGAGACGCACAGAATGAAAACTTGGATGCGGATGATGAAGGAAACAGTAATGTAAATAAATATTTGACTAGTCAAAATGCTACAAAATGGTCACGTATACACGAACAGTCTAATGTTAGAAGTACAACAGAGAATGTTATTAGATTCTTTCCAGGGGTGAAACCTCTTGGAAGGAATACTGCTATTGCATGTTGTACATTGTTTCTAACAGACGATATGCTACAAGGTGTTTTGAAATACACTAAAATGAAATACAAATAAAACATTCTATGTGCATCAATAGTAATGCTCAAAAACATATTTATCAGACACCTCACTATATGAACTAAAAGCCTTTGTAGCAGGACTTTATCATTCTAATCATCGGAATCTAAAGGATTTATGGAAAAGTGATAGATGTGGTGTTGAGATTTGTTAGAATAATAATGACGCTCACGAGATTTGGTTTCCTTCAAAATTGCCTGTGTTTTGATGACAAAAAGACTAAACCAAGAAAGAAAATCCAACAATTTGGCCACTATTTGCTCATTTTTTTGAACTGTCCTGCAATTTACACGTCTGAATACATGAGAACTGACAAACAACTTGCATCGTTTTGTGTTTGTTGAAGTTTTTGGCAGTATGTGCCCAACAAAGCTTCCAAATATGGTATTAAAAATATATGTCTTGGCAGATGTGAAGACATTTTACACCTTGAATTTGGAATTTTATCCTGGAACTCAGCTGCCATGTCTTTATTTGTGCAGTAATAAACCATATGATCTTGTGAACAGACTTATTGTGCCTATTTCAAAAAGTAACCCAAACGTTACCTTTGGGAGTTGGTTCATTAGTTAATTACCCATTGATGTTACTAAAAGAACACCAGTTACACAGCACAGGAACTGTTTGCAAGAACAAAGTCAAGATTCCTGAAAAAACGTTGCAAGTTCACAACGGAGGAATGTATAGCACAATCTCTGGATTTCAGAGAGGCATAACACTGGCTGCTATACGGTGAAGAAAAATACAGTAGTATCGGTACTGTCAACATTACACCATGATGATAAGCTTGATAGTGAAGCCAGGCATGGTGGGAATTCCAGCACTTGGGGAGGCTGAGGCTGTCTCCTGTGAGGCTGTCTCCTCTTCAAAGTCAGCCTGTGCTTCGTAATGAATTCCAGGCTAGCCTGGACAATGTAGCAAGACCTTGTCTGAAAAAAAATAAATTAGTGAATCCTTGTCTTAATTTTCTCTGGCTGAGACAAAATACCCACCTACCCAAAGTTAAAGTGGGGCAGGTTTATTTGACTTGCAGTTCATAGAGGTTTCAGTCCATAGTTGGCTGGCTCCAAAGCAGAGTGGTACATGGCAGAGGGACATCACAAAACAGAAAAACAGTTCATTGTGGCCAAACATGGCAAAAGCAACAAGGGACTACCACAGCTCTTTCTGTCCCTTATATTGCTTATATCTTATCCACCCTTAGAGCAGGTAGCGCTTATGCCCTTAATCCTAGTGGCCTTGATCCTACATCGGACCATGAATGTATTCCAACATCACACACTCTAGATCCAGCTACTTCTGCAAAAGCCCTTTGGAGGGACATCTAAACATAAGCTATAACATTTCTTTCTTGGTTACTTTCCTCATTGCTGAGATGATCCTCTACACAAATGAAGCCAGAAATGGTCATTTCTTACAAAAAAAGGAAAGGTGGAGTAGATGTTGATGAGTTATGCAGCAGTTATGATGTCACTTGAAACACAAAGTATGGGCCAGTGGTTGTGTTTTAATTGATTCTAAATAGGTTTGGCATGGAGAGTATCATAGTTTACAATGGAAATAACAAGCACAAAATATCGTGGAGAAACTTTCTTAGAGGATTGGGACTGAAATTGATAAATGATCAATTACAACAGAGGGAGAACAGTATATCTGCCCAGAGAACTCCTCAAGAGAGTTCCGGAGCAGATTGGGGGACAGACAGGTGAAATGTCATAAGAACCTCCCAAGATAACAGGAACACCCGCAAGATGTCAAGTATGTACTACAAAGAAGTCAGGAAAGCAAGACACATGCGCTGTCAGTGTAAGTGCTACTTTTGTATGGAACATGCCATTTTCATGTATGAAAACTGCTTTGCATGAGGTAATTGAAGGAAAAATTATTTTTGTGGTAGTTTCATTTTTATTTTCATTGTAGTTCACTAGGGATTGATTTCTGCTGTTATTTTTTAGGTCTGGTAAGTGGGTAAGCAGTTGCTGTTGAAAACATTGATGTTTAAGCACTCATTATGTATTAAAAATTTAACATTTAAAAAAATTTAACATTTTATTTTATTGATATTTTTTCCTGTTAAGCACACATTGTTTAATATAATAAAACTCATAAAATTAAAATTACTAATTCATCAATAGAAATACTCCTAAAAAATAAACTTTGGCATTCTACAGTCCCCATAATTCGCCTTTCAAAAAATTTACCATGGACTGGGGATTTAGCTCAGTGGTGTTGTGCCTGCCTCACAAGCACAAGGACCTGAATTGATCCTTGATACTGGTGGAAAAAAAGAGAAAAAATTTACCATTACATCTCTCAGTAATTCTGGTAAAGGCTTAGAGAAAGAGCTATAGAGGAAGCTTCAGTCTTCTTAGAAGGCCTCTAAGTAATCTGGATCAGAATGGAAATATGGGCTGAAAAGGCCATTCTGATGAGGTCTTAGATGAAAATGAGGAACATGTATTATGTTTTAGATCCAAAATGTCCCTGAAAAGTCTTGTGTTTTCAGAGATGGGGTTGTGAAAGGTGAATGGGTCATGGGGGTGATACACTCATCAGTGCATTACTCTGTTGGCGAATTCATTTCTGTTGTTGTTGTTGTTGTTTGGTACTAAGGATTGAACTCAGGTCCTTGCGCTTATGAGTCAGGCTGCGGAACCACTGAGCTAATTCCCCAGCCCCGTGAATTCATTTCTGAATGTGCTCTTGGAAGGTGGAGCCTCATAGGAGTAGGTGAGTTACTGAGTTCATGACCTTGAACCCTGTGTTGTCCCTGGCCCCTTCTTTTTCTCCTTCCTGGCTGCCATGGGTTGAGCAACTTTCTTTTACTGTTTCTGCCTTAGATCCAGCAGACCAGGGGCAAAAATAAACCTGTCCTCTTTTTTTTTTGTCTGGTACTGGGGACCAAACTTAGAACCTTATGCTTGCAAGGCAGGTGATGGTACCAAGGAGCTAAATCCCTGGCTCTAAACCTATCCTCTTTAATTTGTGGGTGTCAGATATTTTGTCTCAGCTATGGGAAAGTAACGAATATAACATGTTTTTGGACAATGGGAAAAAGCCCATTCTTGTTATGAAATAGCAGATTTCTCAAAGGTTACAGGATGGACTGTAGAGCTATCTGGCTGAGAACCTGAGCCATTCTTCAAGACAAGGGAAGGATGACCCTGAAGGTAGTTCAGAGACCACGAGGGTCACCTGCTGTGCTCCATGAATGGGGAACACTGCTTTGCTTGCAAAGGGCCAGGCCACCCCTGCCCAGGCCAGTAAGGTGGAGCTGCCCAGGGTCCTAGGGCACAGTCCTGCCCGGTAGAGCTGTGGGCAGGACTGAAGAGTGGGACTGTTGCCTTAGTGCATCCAAAAGACTGCCCCTGTAGGCCTGGTGGGCAGAGCACTGAGCTGAGCCAAGGGTTATTATTCTTTCCTTTTTGTTCCCTTTCTTTTGTCTTTTCTTTCCCTTTCCTTTTCCCTTTCTTCTACTGTTTCTTCTCTCTCCAACCCCCCCTGCCCCCAGTCTGTCTGTCTGTCTGTCTGTCTGTCTTTCTCTTTCTACTAGGGACTGAGCTATGTGGACAGCCCTTCTTTTATTTTATTTGGAGAATGTCTAAATTGCCCAGCCTGGCCTCAAACTTGCAATCCTCCTCCCTCAGCCTCTCAAGTAGCTGGGTTTGCAGGTGTGAACCACCATATATGACCAAAAAGGATTATTCTTGAGCCTTAAGATCTCCTGGAGTTTGCCTTGTATCTTGGACCTACCTGGGATCTGTTGCTCCTTCTTTCTTTCCTGTCTCTCTTTATTGAAAGAGGATGTCTGCCTTGGGCCTGTCCCACTATTGTATTTTGGAAGCGCATAGCTTGTTCTATAGATTCCCGACTGAAAGGAGACCTTGAGTCTTACCCATATCTGATGTAAAGACCATTTAGATGAGACTTTGGATTTGAGACTTCAGAGTGGATGCTGGAATGAGTTAGGACTTTTGAAGCGATGGGAATATAATGAACATATTTGCATATGAGGAGCATGTGAATTTGGGGGAGACAGAGGCAGAATGCCATAGACAGAAGGATAACTTTGTCTCTTTCCAAACTCTGTATGTTGAAATCTTAACCCTCAATGTGATGGTGTTCAGATTAGACCCTTTGGGAAAGGATTAGGTGATGAGGGCAGAGTCCTCCTGAATGGGATTAGTGCCCTAACAGAAGAGACCCGGGGGCCTGGGGATGTCGCTCAGTGGTAGAGCACTCACTCAGCATATGCAGGGCTCTGCGTCCAATCCGCACTACTGAAAAAAGAAAAATAAAACAGTGCCTGGAGGGTTCCCTTGCTTCTCCAGCCATCTGAGGACACAGAGAGAAGATAGCTGCCTGTGACCCAGGAAGCAGGAATCACCAAACACTGAATGTACTTCCAGCCTCCAGAACTGTGAGAAATAAGTTCCTGTTGTTTATTAGCCACCCAGGCTCTGTTAATGCGTTAGAGCAACCCAAACTGACGGAGACATGATCAGATCTTGGAAAGACCCTTGTGTCTACAGTCAGTTGAGAAAGGGAGGTGCAGGAGATTGGATCCCAGGAGGCTAGTGCGAAGCTGGTTCCACGGTACAGGTGAGAGATAATGGAGCTGGTTGCAGACAACGTGGGGGTGACAGGTGCTTGTGTCCTCAAGACCCTATTGGAAACTCTGGGGCAGGGGCGCTCACAACTGCCGTCATTGTTGGAAACACCTAGAACACTGCTGAGGATGGCGATCTGCCCAGAGGTGTGTGACGAGAAATGCAGCCAGGCGCCAGGGAGAAGGGCTAAAAGCTGAGGGCACGGTCTATGAAGGCAGGAAACTCACAGGAAGGTGCCAGGGAAGGTGGGGTTGCAACCTACAGAATGCCCTACCCTGCTTGGCATCTACTCCTGAAAACATGCAAGCCCTATTTCTTGGTGAGTCTATGGCCAGGGCTCTTGGTCCCCAGTGTAGTGTTTAGTACTGCAAGGACGGATCTGTGGTTTGAAAGATTACCAAAGCAGCTGGCAGGAAGAAGGAATGGTTGTCTAACATCTTCCTGAGCATTTCTTGACAATAGCACATGAGCTTGAGAGGCAGTCTGCTGAGCCCAAGTCAGCCTTCAGCAAGCTTGTATTAACTTTGTGCATGAGCATCTAAAGATGGCTGGAGCAGAGGGAATGATGTGAGCAGGATGCAGAGCTGATGAACTGGCTGTCGGTGGACACATGTGGCCCCCTATTGCCTTTGTTTGGCAGGTGTGGTTAATTGGAATTGCAGTTAAGGCAAGACACTTCCCAATTAATCACAGGCTCCACCGTTCCCTAATGTCTCAAAGGACTTGGCTTTCGTTACTGATGTTGCTAATCTAGCTCTTGAACCCTTACACGAGGAGTACCTACGATTTAGGACGCCTAGTACTGTGCATGCCTAGGGACCCTGGTGGGAGTTACAGGCTGGTCAGGTGACAGTAAGAGTGGAAACATCTAGCCGTCTATCAGAGCCCCCCCTTCTTCACATCTACCACTCCCATTCACAAGGTGTAGAGGCGCTGCTGAGTGGCCAAAGTCCCTTTAATATCCCTGAATTGCGTTACAAGTAATACTGCTGGAGGCGGGGAAGGAGTGGAGACTGGGGTGAGTTGGGGGAAGAGGAGGCAGGGAGAGCGCCAGGCGCTCATACAAAATATGGCCAAAGGCTTAGCATGCATGGAAAATTATTGCTGTCAGAAGTTTCTATTTACAGGGTCGACACCCTCCAAATTGCTTCCACGACCCCCCTCCCCACCATCCTGCAGCCTCCCTTCGCGGTGGGCCCAGAGCTGGATGAAGCTCTACACACCCCTCTGAAGCCCTAGAGAAGGACTCTTGCTGCAGGGGATCCTCCATCTCCACCCTCTCTGGTGGCTAAGGAAGTGAGGAGGGTCGGAGAGACCAGGACTCCGCCGCCGCGCCGAAGGCTCTCAGCGCTGGGGGCAGAGGCATGTGCTTAAAGCAGAGGGGCCAGGGCCCGTGCGTGTGGAGGTGTGTGCTTCGGTCCTCGCCCGGGCATGCAAAAGCGCGGCGCAGGAGGTAGTGGCGGCCAATGGGCGGGTGGCTGGCAGCCCCGGCCCCTCTGCCCAGGAGAGTTGCATAGATGTGACCGGGAGAGAGCGCTGCTCCCCGGGAGCGGGCCAGAGGCCCCAGAGGGGTCCGGGGCTCAGTCGGTCCCTGGAACCTGGGATCCCTCAGGAAGAGGAAGAAATAAGAAACAAACGAGGAGGCTCCTGTCTCCAGACTGCCTGGAGTAGGAGCAGAAGGCTCAGGAGGGTGGGGACCTGCCCCACCACAGGACTTCCTGGTGCCCCTCCCGTCCTTTCTCAGGTCCCCTTCTGCACCAAGCGCTGATGAGGGTGAGGCATCTCCCAAGACCCGGAAGGGAGGGGCAGCTCACTATGGCCATTGCTGCCCCTCTCCTTGCCTGGCTCCCTGACCTCCCAGTCCAGCTGGGGAAGCCAGACTGTCTCTGGGTGAGGCCAAGAGATTAAATAGAATAATAAATAGATAAATAAATACACAAATAAATAATTGGAGGGGCCTAGCTGGATAAGGGGGACAGGCCTTGGTGAGGTGCTCTAGGCCTCACCCCCACAAATAAGGAGGGGTACCTGTAGTCCTGGGGACGGGGGAAAGTGCTCAGAGAATCTGGGGAGTGGGCAGTGCCAGGCTGGGAGCCCAGGGAAGGGCTGTCCTAGGGTGAGGGGGTTACAGTAGGGGTCAGGGCCCTGAACTGTCCCTCAGGTCTGCTCTAGGTCAGGTAAACTCAGAGGGGTGCTAGAGCGCTGAGGGAGCCTGGAGAGAGCAGGGAGTGGGAATAGGTGAAGCAGTCCTTAAAACTGAAGTGGATGAGACCTGATGGGCTGTGTGTGAGTGAATAGCTGGACACCTAAGGCCAGGGGACAGGGGACAGCCTGGGGACGCTAAGAATGGAGACTCACCAGAGCAGCCCCAGGGAAGGCCTGCAGTTGGATTGTGTCCTGCAGGCCTGCGTCCAGGTGGATAGGAAAACTGAGGCAGACATGGGCTTTGAGCGTTAAGTTTGGACCTCAGACTGGGTGCTAATGGAGGAATGGTCAGAGACTCTGCTGAGAAGTGAGAAGAAAAGTCGGAAGGTTAGAAGGGCAGTGCAGGGTCTGGGTGGGAGGTGTTTCTGGCCCTGGGGCCCGGGAGGGACAGGTGCGGACCTGGTGCCTGAGTTGGGAGCCTTGAAGGCATGGACTGGGGTGTCAAGGTCCGATTGGTGGCCGGGAAGGCTGATGGGATGTGAGGGGGTGGGTGGGATGGGCCGGAAGTTATGGGTCTAGGGGCGGGGGGGGAAAGTTGGGGGCCAAGAAGGGGAGTCCCAATGGGCTGGGAAACGCAGCTGGAGATTGGAGAGGGCGCTGCGGACACGGGTAGGGAGCTCAGCTGGCAGGGCCGGCATGGGGCGGTGGGGGCGGCTCGGCGCCCTTGACGCAGGCGGCCTCGCAGTGCTTGTGGAGGTAGGACTTGAGGGCGAAGCTCTTGTCGCACTGGCGGCAGCGGTAGTGCTTGAAGGCCGAATGCGTCTGCATGTGCGCGCGCAAGTTGGAGCGATCGGCGAAGGCCTTGCCGCAGTGAGCGCAGCCGAAGGGCTTCTCGCCAGTGTGCGAGCGCATGTGGCCCTGCAGCAGCCAGGGTCGCGAGAAGGCTTTCCCGCACACGCCGCACTTGTGGCGCAGGTTGTGCGTGAGCACGTGCATGGCGAGCGCGGGCATAGACACGTACGCCTTGCCGCACGTCGGGCACTTGCGCGCCAGCTGGCTGTCCAGGCTGCGGTGAGTCTGCTTGTGGCGGCTCAGGTTCGACGACGTGGCGTACGTCTTGCCGC